TTGTCACATGGGGATTGAGGGAAGGTGGGATGTTGAAAGGCTGGGAATAGCTGCCATAGAAACAAGCCTGAGGTTCCTGGACACAGCACCCGCAACTATAATCAAGGAAAATACTAGAACCAAGTGACTCTTCCTTCTATTCAGAGACTAAACAGAGATATGTGCAGTGTGTGTGTATACACATATACACACATTTGTATATATACTCCCTACACACAGTGTGGGTATTATGTCTGTATGCATATATATACACACATACGCACTATGTATCCATCTGCAGAGAAACTCTTCCATCCTTTTTTAAACACACTTAAAGTCAGTATTCAGCGTCTTCTACCTTCTCCCTCACGGAGCCTCAAGCAGAGATTGAGTCACAACAGTTTTAGTTTCACACAGAATTGAAAATGCAGAATCTTTAAATAAGCTTAAAGTTCTTAATATATATTTAGAAAAAATAGTGCTGCTTTAGTCATTTCTCCAGCCAATTGAAATTGATTTTTCTCTTGACCTCTACCCATTTTCAAAGGCAAAAATCACGATCTACACTCTCCTGAATAAAAGAGAAATAAAATTAGCAAATCATTGACAGGTCAGCAAATTATCAACAGAACAGCCACATGAAGAGCGTTCAAAAGCTCTAGCACTGCATGAATTCATATCATACATGCCAGTCCCTCTGAGATTAAACTGCCAAGGGATGCATGCATCCATGATGCTACTTTGTTCCTAAACCCTACTGAAACAGCACCGGCTGGCCAGCAAGGAAGAAGGTAACGGTGATGCAGCCACCAGGATCTAAGGACATTGGCAAGACCAAGTTTGTTAGACCATGGCAATATCTTTTGAAAGACCAAGAGCTATAACTGGAAAAAGACAAACTTCTGGGTACACAAAGGCCTGAAATACAAGCAGGAGACTGGAGAGCTGTACACAAACCAACAACAATTGTTCAGATCTGTATCAATTCAGTCACCCTGGAGAGAAAAGTTAGCTGTAGCTTTGTGAGGTAAAGGGGTGAGAAAGGGGAAATGGAGTTCATACAGTTACTTTTTCCTAGGAGAAAAAGAGGTAGCTGGTAACCTCTTCGCAGATGACAGAGATGGTAGTGAGGAGAAGGGAAATTTATCATGTAGCCATTAAGCCAGTATTCCCTTCTGCATTTTGGCATTTATTGGAGTTTCGCATTTTTCTGAGGCTTATATTTGAGAAGTGTCCTGTTCAGGGAGACTGATGTTTACCTGCAGTTCTTCTCCAAGGCACCAGGGAAGCTGCTGCACTGAAATCCAGTACCTCACCTCCAGATGGAACTGGGCAGAGGCACAGTGAAAACACACAAGGGAAAGGGAGAGTTAAATCGGAGGAAACCATTACTCATAGTTTGCAAGTTATACAGCTGTAATCATTTCCAAAGCAGAGACTGCTTCCAGTACACCAGAAAAGTCAAAAGAAATAACAGTTGTCAACAAATGAATTGATGACAGATCTGATGCCTGGAGGGATTCCAAGTTGCAGTAAGGGATAGGTGCTGATACGCACCAGGAGAGGGTCCTTGTTCCTTCCACTTCTGTCCTTCAAGGCAGCTCACATGGACTTGTCTATAGAGCAGGATGAGCCCTTGCATGTTTATTTGCTTTAACCCTCTCCAAGAAAAGTGACTAAAAAGGATAACATTTCCACTGGCCTCGGCTTCTGTAAAACCTGTCCTCAACATGTTCAGATTCAAGCTGAAATGACAGTATGTCTTTAAAAACAAACAAGCAGAAATGAGATAATATGCTGAACCCCATCCTTTGGTCCCTGTCAGAGTGCTCTGCACTCTGTGCAGGAGGCAGCTTGTTCTTGAAGGAATTCAGATAGATCCCAAACAAACTCATCCAGGGAGGTTTTGGGGGGAAAACACAAACAAAAAAACCCAAGAGAGTCATGTGCAAAACTCAACTAAAATTCTGCTTTTCAAGGCAAGCACAAAAATCCAGGTCCAGTTGTTCCCTACTCAAGATCAGACCTGGACTTACAGTGTTTTCCAAACTTGTAAAAGTCAGCTAAGTGCTATGCTGAAATACATTTCTTCTTTCACTTAAAGAAGACATTTCCATTGGGATATTGCATAGAGGGGGGTCAAGAGTAGCCACGTTCCAGCTGTATAGGGCTAAGAAAGAGGAGACCCAGTTTGCTTCTGGAATACTTGCTGCACAGTGTGTTCCTGTGTGCAAGCCTTTCCTCCTAGCTAAACAGTGTGACTGTGCCTATTTCTGCCAAAGCCCAGCATCAGACTGCTTCATCTCCAGCCTTCTTATGTACCTAGACCAGATCCTACACTAAATCTAGGCTACAGGATTTCTTAACAAGCCAGACAGCACACATTTATTTAGTCCAATAAATTACCCTCAATGTAAAGTCAGAAAGGAGAGTTATCAGAGAGACCTGCCAAACAATAAACTTTAAACAAACTAAACCATTCAGAATTCAAAACTGAAAAGGCACAAAACTGGAATAACTTTTATCCAGCAGCCAATTGGATTAAACTTTTTAACCACACTAGAAACAGAAAGTTTTTCTTGTGGTAAAAACTTCATACCACACTTACAGGGGGATTTTCAGCTGCCCCAGTACATGCTTTCCTAAGTAATCAACCAAGTTCTGCTTTTAACGTGCTGTGGCTCAGCCTGGCAGTAGCTCCTCT